TCTATTCTCCCTCCTCTTCTCTCTCTCTCTCTCTCTCTCTCTCTCTCTCTCTTTCTCTCTACGTACATTTTAAAAGCGATGTTAAGCTCGAATATGAAGCTTTTTCGCATGTATCAGCAGGAAATTCTGCAGTGCCGCGACCAAGAATGTGTTAACGACTTATGGAAAGAGTAAGCGAGAGAGGGGGAGAGGAATTGAGAGAGGAAGGGTGCTTCGTACGGCACAACAGTGATGTACTGCCTTTCGCAATTACGGATACTGCACGGCTCTAGGAACGATAGTGCAGGTAGTTTCAATTTGTTTCGTTCAGAAAAGTCGGCGCATAATATCAGAGGAATGATTTCGCAGTAAAATTTCATTATACCGAATACCGACCAAACGAAATTTTCATTATTTGATTATGAATCCCCGGCGAACGTCCACATTAACTCTGGAACGTTAACAGGAAGTAATCGCCAAATAACGTTAATATGGTTTTATATGTAATATCAGGAAATTGTATGACCAACTCGCGCTGCGAGAACTAGCCGAAGCACTAGCGCAGTCATTTCTAATTACAGAGCTTTATTATTAAAATACAATTATAAAAAATTTAAAGATAATCGAGTGCGTTTCAAATTTCCGTCATGGTATGCGATTGCTAAATTAATTCCGTTAATATTGCAATATAGAATTAATTTTTATTTTATTACTTAAAAACAATTTTTTTATGATATTTTACACTAATACTACATTTTAGCTTATATGAAAGTTTAAAAATGTTTACTCAACAAAATATATGCTATTTCTACATTTTCCGTATCTTGCATATCATCCCGTATCTTTTATTCAACGCTTTTCCCGTGCTATCGTATGCCACTGTCGTATGTTTCCACTCTACTTTATGCTATACATGTTATAATTCACGTACAGACAGGAGCCGGAGCTTGCGGTGAATGTCGGCTCGTCCAGGTGTAACATCAAGGTCCACTGAACTAGCATAGATCCCGCGTTAGTCGGCATTTTTCTAAGCGACTTTGCGTAAGGGGATTAAAGCGAAATCGAGCTTTAAATTGATAGACAGAGTGAGAGGGAAAGAGAAAGGGAGAGAGGCAGTGCCATTGATCGGAGTCGGTTTCACTTAAATCGCCGATGATGCATGCTAACTGGCAGTCGCGCCCATTAGCGATCGATCTCCCGAGCGGAGATTGTCTATAGGTCCATACACGACCACGATGCTCGTAATTGGCTTCATCGGCATAACCAGCTGTTGTATCCAGCGTCTTTCATCATTCGAACGGAACATTGCTTCGCAGACTCAGCAGATGTATGATTGAAGCAACAAGTTATTTATAGGTTGGAAATAAAGAAATTTTCTTTGACGGAATATTCCATACAAATTTTTTTAGACATCTATCAATTATACCTGTTTGTTGCTACTTAAGTTAAAATCAATTTGCATTCGCTTTTAGTCGGCAACAAAGATTGACGTTCAGCATGAGTTTTTGAAAGCTCAAAAGAGAAGTTCTGCACATCCGCAATTATTTCCAACAATTAAATTCTCTACTTATTTGTAAGTTGAAAGAAAAATTAAATGCTTTCCATGAATAAAACTAATAATTCTGCATCTTGCATTGCGTTACATTGCATTGAGACAAAGATAATCGCAATTAATCATTAATTCGCGACTGGAATGTTAATGTACTTTGAGGGTAATTTAATTAAAATTGTAATGATATATTAACTGATAGAGATCCCTTTACAGTAATGCATCAGTGATATTGCGCATATTTTATGCGCCCGTACAATGGTCGCAGCTCATAATTTATGTATCGTCGGCGATGCATTTTCAGAGAAACGAGTAACCGACATTACATAATTCATTGAATTTATACGAGCAGGATAGCAAACTGTATGAACTATAACGTCATAAATCATGATAGCTTGAAACAAGAAAAATCGAAAGTCGGTTGCGGCGCAATATTTTTCGTCAAGAATATTTGAAGAACGAAACACAACAGTTTTCAATAATATAAACCGAAAGTGACGCAAATTTATTTTACAACTTTTAACTCTATAAAATTGGTATTTAACTCTATAAAATTTATGTTAAATGTTCCATCGAATAAAAATATTTAAATTAATTGAAAAATAAACTTTCCCGGAAATTGGTGCAATTGTAAAACAAATGAAAGAATATTAAAAGCCAGAAATTTACACTTTGTAATTCACTAAAATAAAATGATAATTGTGAAATTAAAAATATGTAAAAATCGGAAATATTATATATTAAAATAGTTTAGAATTATATCAAAAAACTATCAAGGGACTTCGAGCAAGTACTAAACTGGCTTGTTTCTCGTATTTTACAAAATGCGGCTGAAAATTAAAAATTAAACTGAACGTTGTGGAACATTGCCTTAATCAATAAAAGTTCAAGTGCGTGCTGCAAAAATATTGACTCGCGATACACGGGAGAACAATACCCATGCAGCGGCAATTTTCAGTTGCTTTTAATATACGGCGGGAATTCGGCAATGGTTTGTTGTCTACCGAAATAAAATGTTTTTTCAAGCGAGCTCACATGACAGACGATATTGCTATAACTAAAATAACAGCCTTATTTCACGCGGCGAAATTTCCATTTCGGCGAAAAGCATTCTCGCGCTCGTTCGCGTGATTTACATCTGGCTTGCGACCAACTTCGCTCGTAATTATCCTTGTAATTCGACCGATCGAACGATATGCTCTCGAATATCGCGATATCAAGGATCCGCGATTTTGGTATTTATCCCCGCACGCACATAAATCTGACGAATTACCCAAATAATGCAGCTCATCGTGCGCGCGAACGCCTCGCTATGACGCGGCCATTATCGCGGCGAACTCTGAAAATGATAAGCTTTCCGTACAGCCATATTGTAAATTATTCCAATTTCGCAGTGTCGATTAAATCAAAATCTATCTTGATGTAATAAGTAATATCGCTGCAAATATTGTGTATAATAAAGAATGCTGGTTTATGTGTACAGATAGATTATCGATTGATCAAAAGATGATGTTGCTTGTATTTCTTATTCCTGCTCAAAGAACTTTACGGCGTTTGTTGTTAATGTAAACATGTGATCTCAATTGTATTTCTGTTTCCCGTCTAAAATAAGCTCAGCCCACTGCATGGGCTCTGCAGTCTTAGCCGCAACAAAGGCAACGGCAGAGATAGTTCGCAAGTTTCACATGCGATGTAAACCAAGAATGCGCAAGCTAAGAAACGAACAAACTTTATGAGTTTTTCTTCCACTTTGCATTAGATGGTCTGATATGTAAAACTCGCAAAAATATCTACTCTTTACAAGTTATAAATTTGTAATAAAATATAAGCGAGATAGTAATTTATTAATTTTTCAATATCCAAGTTATATTCAGACATCTAGAATCCTTGATGTGAGATTTCAAAATATATAAAATATGTAGTGCACATTATCACTCTTGTATATCATTATCTATTCAGCTGAAAGTTTCATATTTTTTCTTTTACATAAATTATGAACTTGAGTCTTTTACTTTGGAGAAAAACAATAAAAATGTATAGAAATCATGTAAAAAGTCTTTAAAGATTCAGAGATCAATCAGTGTGTGTGCTTTCAATTTAAGCAAGATTAAGATACATATTTGGATATTAATAAAAGAATAGAGCTACAAAGCTGTATCCAAGCGAGTAAATAATTTGTTGGAAACATTATTTCGATTGCGTTGGTGGAGGTACGCGGAATCTCTAGAAATTCGAGACACAATAACGTCTCAAGAAAACTGTACAAATATTATAATACAATATTTGTGAAATATGATCGTAAATTTAATTTTTCTGTAAACAAATTTGCTGATAAAATACGATTTTGTATTTACAGAAATCCAAACATTATCGATCATCATGGGAGAAACGACACTCTTTTGCCGGCTAGTAGAGAAAAGAGTCGATTTCGCAGCTTGTCCTGGGAGCAATACGATCCAGTGCATCAAAAGTACTTGGAGATCGGTAAGTAGCAACTTATTTATTTAAATATTCTTCCGGGCATTTTGCACATTTGATACAAATAATTAAATGCGCTTTTATTTAAAAATTTGGAATATTATAACTGCAGTGAAGTTTTCCGAGAATTTAATATCGCTTTTTTTAACATTCTTAAATAAATGAATAGGTAATAAAAGCGGAGACAATTGTGTTGGAAATTGAATCGTTGAGAGTCTCATATCAAACTTGCAACTTTCCACGCTATTTCTCGTCGCTGAAGTAAAAAGTGGAGAGTTGAAAAACGAGAGAAATGACATATCAATTATTAAACTGCACCGATAAAAAAACTTGGAGTATCGAACCGTTCAACTTCTGATCGCTATCTCGCGGATGCAATGAAACTACCTTGCTCATTCCAGATGCTAACATTAGCAAAACGCGTTAACTCTTTATTCTCGTTCTCGGAATGGAATTGTCGGGGCGGAAAGATTAAATGCAAATGGCTGGAAAAGCGAAGACACTCTCGAGCTTCTGAGCAAATATCGAGACCATACTCGCGCGAGCGGCTTGTCGTCGAGAGAAACCACTCGACGTTCGATTAGTCTTCGCTCGGCGTGCATGAAGAAAGCGCGCTGGTTGCCGAGTTAGCTCGAATTAGAACAGGTCAGATCCCGGGCGAGCTTTCATCGTTTCGTACGTGAGGAAAGAAGGGACGGAGAGATGAAGTGTCGCGCCAGGAACACGGCTTGCCACTCGTGTGTAGCTGTCCGGAGCTCGGGAAAGAACGGCTGGAAACTTGACTTGAGGTCATTTTTATTGTGAACGCTGTGCTCGGGCACGTCGCAGATGACGTGAAATGAGCCCTTTGACCCGAAAAAAAACCTGCGGTTTATTTCCGCGGACCATTTATGTGCTCGTGCAAAATTGGGCGCGCGTACTAATTACTTTCCAAATTGCGTATACGTTGCGGTAATTCGCCCATTGTATACGTGAATATATTAGAGAAAATAAAAAGATGAACCAGCCAGAGGCAAGGTACAAGTCCAAAAACAAACGTATTTAAAAGAAATGTGGACAACATTTTGGTTTATTACCTTTATTAGTACGGTTATAACTGGCACATTAAAAAATTATTGCTGCAAATTATATTATGTGTAAAAAATGCACAAAGTAAATTCGTAGAAATAAATTAATACAATTATCGCAAAAGCATGCATTGTGTTTGATAAACAACTCCTTCGAAGCAGAGTTGTTTGCAATGTTGTTTAAAAGTAAAATCTTTGTCAGTGAGTAACGTTAATTTATATTTTTGAAGTCAAGAGAGAGAGAAAGAAAAATAAGGAAAATAGTAAGTTTAAAGTTCAGTCAATTTAATAAAGATTGATAAACGAGAGCTATGTAAAACTTGGAACGCAGCCGTCAAAAATGCTACAGTAGCAACGTCTAAAGATCGATCGAATAATCGATTGATAAATTATAAAATATATATGCTTGTATAAAAATTGTATTGAAAAAATCGAATTGAAGAAGGATTAGATCTGGCTGGAAAAATTTTCATCGAGGAAGATCACACTGCTAGGGCAGACATGGCGGAAGGTGTTCGCCATTTTTCACCGGAAAGTCTCGTGAAAAATCGTGTTGAACCAATAGCCTGCATTCCACGTTGCTCGGTTCGACTTGACTTGAGTCGATTCTCTAGGACGCCCGCGCGTGATCCGAGAAAAATGTGCCGTAAAAATAGAGCAGAAGAAGGGCGGGTGTGCTTTCCCTCCTTGTGATTAATTTTTTTTTTTTGTACCTCCGTCTTTCTTATCTGGCTCGAGTAAGAGCTCTCGGTTGAAAGCTTATGCCCGAGAAAACAGGATTCTCGCTAGAAATATCAATACGTTATACAACATAGCTACATGTTCATTAAAATCCGCGCAGCAGATTTATTCCCGCGTCTGTAAACATTATTTTCACACAAACTGTAAATTTTCTCACATTCCTCATTATTTTTCGATTCTTCAAATGTTTTCTATTACGTTAAAATTACAAATAGATTTCTATTTTGAATTCCATCGCAAATTACAGATCGTCTAGAATGGTGCTTTAAATAATGCATTAAGCGTGCAATTTACATAATCATCCCTTTGCAAATCTAAAGCTGTGAATGTCTGTTCAATGCTGGCAACTTCGCAATGTTATGAGATAATCGGCAGAAATGTCGACCGCAAACTGAAAAATGTCCAGCATTACCGGCGAGTCTGTTTCAAATTTTACATGGCGGAGAAATTCAATAATCTTCTGTTCCTTCGAGATTCGGTTTAATCTTCGATTTCCAGCAACTGAGGGATAAAACGGGCGAAGCTTCCGACTGAAACGAAAACAGCAATTGTCGGTTCGAGTGGTCGTTGTTTTACGTCTCGGCATTCCGCTTTTGTTCGCCTATCCGCTCTCACCGCAACGTTCGCTATCTACTTCGCAATAGTTTTTGCCCTTCTCTACCCGTTACGCTCACCCCCTTTGTAGCTACCCCTTAATCCTCATATAAACGTGCTTCGCTTTAGCATCGATTAACCTTCGCACCCATTGAAATATTATCCTCAGTTTACGCTATAATTTACATGTTTTGTATTTCTCAAAAATTTGCTGCTCCGACAGTCGGATTTATGATTAAGTGGACACATTATCGAATCTTTAGTCCTCTTTTTTTATTTCAATCTTTTTATGCGACATGTTCATGGAAAAGTAAAAAAAACACTTTACAAAGTGAAGTGTACTAAAAGTAAAACAATTGCATGTATCAAGCAATGTCTGTTGCTAGAGGCGTTCCCAAACGATCCATCGCGTGAGTTTCGCTGATCCACAACAAGGTTGTTACGGATGCCATTGTCGTAATTAAATCAGAGAGAGAGAGAGAAAGAGAGAAAAAGGGAAAGAGAAAGAGAAATTTCTCTATATTTTTTTTCTTTTGCTAGCATACCGAGCTCGTAAAGCCATGACGAGCGCAGCGCCGAGGGTTTATATCCCGTCCGTAATAAACGGTGACATTTGACACGGGTGGACGTTGTCACGTTCTCATAACATTGGACTCGGATTCGTATATAAAACCTATAAGGTGTTTCAAAAGCTTTGCGACAAATTTACATCGTGTAATCTCATGTTGTAACGTAAAGTATTAGCACATTATATTTTTAGAACTTGACTTATAAAAAAATTAACGAGAAAATCTACAATTGCTATTTCTAAAAATATATCGTGCATATATTATAGTAAACTAGGAGATTCGATCAGATTAATGGAATTTTTACTGAAATCAGTCCCTAAATTTACCGGAAAAAATTTTTTCAAACAAAAATTGCACTTCTAAAGTTGAATGCAGACTTTGTACGGAACCTCTGCGTAAACATCCTGTATGGGAGAACAGTATGAGAAGCTTCGAAACGGGCAAGCAAGGCGCGGCGACGTGAAATAACGAGCTTAAATAGATTACGCGAAGATTACAAGGCAAGGTTGGTCGGCTTCCCGCGTGCGAATTATGAAGCGCGTTCCGACTAATCGATCACACCCCATGTCAATATCGACTGCCTAAAGTCTAGCGCCCCCGAAGCAATGATAAATTTGTATGAGAAGTAGAAACCGGGGGCGTAATCATGATGAATTCGTATTGCTTTAACCCCTATTGAGCCCGAAATTCGCATCGCTTATTTTCAGTTCACATTATATTTGTCTCATAAATTCTGTAAATCAATATAGCATATGTATTAGTTCCAACTTTTCCCAACATATTGCAGCTTTCAACCGCAACTTTCAATATTTGACAACTAGTATAGCATCATAACGTAGCAAAGCGACTATATATAACGCGACAAATTTAACCTTCATGGCAAAATATGTGAAAAGAATTAAAAGCATGAATGACTAGACACTTCTAAAATCTCGTACTAATTGTATCTTGAAATTAATTGCTTTTATCAGTAGTTTGCTGTATAATAAAATTGACAGAACGAAAGTCGGTCTTTGGCAGCTACAAAGAATAGGTTACTTGGAATAGGTTTCCTTTGAATGGTTTCCTTTTGGAAGAAAGAGAGAGAGAGAGAAAGAAAGGGGGAGAGGGAACTCCTTCTTATCCCGGGATTAAAGGCTGGATGAAACCGGGAAAGGTTTGAAGGCAACGGCGTCCTGAGACTATCGCCGAAGTATAAAGCGCTAAACAGCAAGTTCGTCCATCGAACTTTCGAAGCCTCACGACTTTGCTCTTACCGAGATTAGCCGGGCTGGGCCGGAAGTCCTATGGGAAAGTTGGCAATTTATTACAAAATATTGAAGGTGACACCGCTGAACTCGCGGCCCGTTTTCTATCCGTCCTTTGACCGTCTCGCGCAATAAATATCTCGAATATCGACATCACCTAACTGTATTCATCCAACTTTGAGCTACTTTGGCGAGTCGTTATTATAATATTAGCAAGTTCGCAAAATATATTATCGAAATAGCGACGTGAATTAGTTTTTAAATAAAATCAAATCAAATCTGCAATATATAAAGTGCAATGAAAAAATTATAAGTAGAAAAATTAATTGCTCGCACAAAAATAGAAATAGAAGAAAATGTAAAATAACTCTTTATTATATGAAATTTAATATCGAGAAAATAATTTTAACAATTAAAAATTAATAACATTAATACAATATTTTTAGGTCTAACTTTTACTGACTTTCTACTTGCAAGTTGGAAACATGTTTTTTGTTTTACTATTAATTTTCATCACGTTATTCTTTTTACGAAAAAAGTTTAAATAATTCATACTCAAAAGATAAATATAACTCAAAAGATATTTTTTAAAAATTTTATTTCAAAAATTTACAAATATATATTCTAAATTTCAATCTTTGGTGGTTTTTTCTACTAACAAATAGACGAATATTTTTTGTCTTGTTGTTGATTTTAAACACGATACATTTTTTGCGATAAAAAGTACGTTTTCCATTCGGATTGACATCCAAAAGATATGCATATATGTAAAATAAAATATCTTTTTT